GGCGGCGGCAGGGGCAGCGGCGGCAGAGGGCGCGGGAGCAGCACCGGCACAGGCGGCGGGGGCGCGCACGTCCACGCACGCTCACGCACGCACCCGCACCGGCGCGCGCGCCTCCGGAAGAACGTGGGCTCCGCGGGTCGGAGCGGCGGGCGGGGCAGGCCGCGCACGCGCCCAGAGCTCTAGGCGGAGGCTCCGCCCATGCGGGGCGGAGCCGCAAGGTGACAGCGGCTGCTCCGAAACGCCGGGTGCGGGCCGCGCCTCGAGCGACAGCCCAGGGGCGGGGCCCCAAGTGACAGCCCGGGAACGGAAGCCCCGGGAGCTGTGGGCGGAGCCCGCACTGCAGAGCCGGAAGCGCCTACAACCCGGCAGGGGCGGGACCTAGGCGCGCGGGCCGAGCCTCCCGCCAGTGCCCGTGGTGCTCAGGTCCGCGGGTAGGTGAGGCGGTGAAACCTGCGAAAGGGGAGGTGTGCGGACTTGTCTCGCCGCTGACTTTGCTCGTCCAAGAACGGGAGAGGGAGCTGCTAGGAGATGACCCAGAGGCCGACGCCCCCCTTCCTCCGGGCACTGGTTAGGGACTGACATTTGTTCACCCCTGGAGCGCAGAGATGGGACTTCCTTTCTTCCTGCCCAACCAATGAAGTGCCACCACCACCGTCCAGCCACGCCCCCAGAATCGCCTTCAGACAGTGGCGTGGAAAAGCAGGAGAACCAGCGCCCACACGCTTCCCTCCCCATACAGGTAGGACTCCTGCTCATCCTATTGGCCACCTGGGAGGGGAGGCCTGCCCGTCACCTTTCCCTGTCACTCCCCGGAACCGTAAGCAGTCCTACCGCTTATTCAGTGCTTGCTCTGTGTCTGGTACACTGCCATGTGGCAGTTTTCATTCTAGAAGCCACGCAGACCTTTTCTGGCGTGTGTCCGCCTCACTGCCACTCTTGCGCATTGGCCATTTTCCATTCAGCGGAGTTGTCTTTTGTAAAAGAGAAACCTGATGACATCTAAGGCTCCCTAGAACACTGAGTAAAATCCAGGGTTTGCCAACAAGCTCTGACCCGTCTGCCTCTGCCCTCTTCTTACACCTCTCTGCCATCATGCTGGCTGTGGCAGAGAGCTCAGGAAGCCTCCTGGTGGTCGTTCAATTGTGCAACACGAGGAGGCAGTAAGAAAAGGCTTATGAAAACCAAGAAGCAGAAAGGCCAGATTAATACCGTCTATTGATTCAAGAGGGTGAAAGATTCCCGGACAGAATCATAGGAGGAAGAAGGCAGTAAGATGGACAAGCTGTGTTCAGCCTGTGCCGGAAGCTGCACGAACGAACGAACCAGGCCTTAGTGAGTCTATCTTTGATACAACAGTTCCACTTTAGGGTCATTCCTCCTAAAAAAGAATGTTCCCAGATATAGAAAAAGGTGTATACTGTTGTTGTAAAATAGTGAAAATGGAAACCTGCCCAACTGTACAAGCAAGCACACTCAGTGGAACAAAATACCTATTAAAAATGTACACAACGGCTATGAAACAGCGTAGAAAATTCTTGCGATAGTTCCTCAAAGTAAACGAGCAAGATGCATGATATAAAAAGTACATCATTATGAGTATGTCTACAAATAAGCAACCCAACCTGTTCAGAGGAGGTGACAGAAGATGCCGGTCAAATGCCGACAGTGGCTTTGGTCAGGCCCTGTGCTTTCCATGCCCTTGAATCACGGCAGGCGAGCCGCGTTATCCTTACCCTGAGACAGGGAACTGAGGCTTCAGGGAAGCAGGTGCTCTGCTGCTCCCCAGCCCCTCCCAGGCATGTCCGTGTCTCTACCTGCCCCACCAGCCGCTCTGGTCCTCCAAGCTCTCAAAGCTCATCTCACACAAATCTGTTAGAGGAATACCTTGTCTTCCCCAACAGATGGGATCGCAAAGCCCTTGAGAGCTGGGTCCACAACAGATTCACTCTATCCCACAAAGCCTGACAGACTTCCCCACAAAACATTTAAATATTTAATCCGTGAAGACTACATGGAACCCCTTTCCAAAGTAAATTAACGTAAATGTTGACTTCAGGCAGCGGCGGTGCTTTTCCACCATTCTCCCGGCCCACTGTGGTATTGAGGTCCCACGTGGAGTGTAGACTTCCTACAACTTGGAGTAACTCGCTTTCCCCACTGCTACATCTGGAGCAAGCCTGCTCCCTGATCCCAAAGGAAAGTCCGATACTCCCAGTAAAGGCACTTGCCACTGGGAGCGCCCAGGGCAGCGGGGTCGACACATCTGATGCACCAGGGCAGAGCACAAGGAAGGAAAAGCAGGGCACAGAACATCGGGTACCGTCTGAGAGCACACTTTCACATCTGCTTGCCTTTTTGTGAAGAAATGCAGGAGGAAAGTGGTGGGGAGGGCACGGGTGGGGAACCGGAGCCTGTTTGGACTTCTGAATCTTGCAGATTGCCTTAAAACGATGAACTCGCAACAAAGGAGCCCTCAAACTGTCCTGGGTCGCCTCACCAGTGTCCCTGCACACACCCGGAGGCCTCCGGCCCCGCCTCCCCCGTGCCACCGTCTCAGTTCACAGTTCACGGGAGCTCGCTTCGCAGTTGATTTGCTCCAGGCCATCGTTTACCTCTGTCTGTCCACATGGTCCCACGCATAGAGGGGGTTGGAAGGATGCCACGGGTTCTCTTACAGCAGCCACAGCCACCTCAGTGAACTTCCTCCACCTGAGGAGACTCAGGAAGAGCCCTGCACCTGACCAAAGGACACACGTGGCTTCCCTGCGCCCCAACAGCTCAGGGGTCACTACAAGTAGATGCGCGCAGGACTCGGGCGGCTCGCACACCAGACCCAGGCCCTTCGGTGGAGCAAACTGTCTTCAGTGCCTGGTTTGCAGGACTCTTGCTTGCTCAGCCTGACCCAACCTGTAACCTGGCTGGGTCCTCCTCACCCTCCACACGTCCCTCCTCAGACGCCCCACAGGCTTGTCACCACAGCACCCTCTCACAGTGCGTCCTGTTTTAATTCACAGGACTGAGGATTTGGGGGTCTGCGTTTGAGCTGAACCTGCTTCCTGCTGCCCCTCCCCAGGGTATGGGCCCAGGACAACAGGGACCTCCTCCGTGGGTTTATCTGCCACTCTTTCCTCACCTTCACGGAGGAAGAAAGACAACCACACAAGTTGGCATAGGTTCTTCCCCAAAGGAATGCTTTATTGACAAATTACCCATTATTTCCTCGAGGAAAAGATAAACGTTCCTACGCTTGAATCCTGCCTTCTCACCACACCCCATCTGAGATTCTAACCCTGGAGAAAAAAACCCCAACGGTGTTCTTCCCATGGCACAGGCACGATGACAGCCCCCCTGCCCCAGGGTGTCTGAAGTGAGCAGCACTCAGGGTACCAGGGAGCACAGCACGGTCTGCCAGCACAGAGCCCGAGGGCACGGCTGCTCCCTGCAGCGAGCACACAGATGCACGCACAGGGGACGTCTCTGCCTGCTGAGAGCCAGCCAGTAAGGCACGGAGCTGCCCCTGCAGACACACCCCCCAAGTGGGGCCCCGAGAGACTGCTGGGGTGTGGCAGCTTCAAAACAGGAATGAGATCTGTGTAGCTCCTGAGAAAAGGCAACAGCAGAGCTCCAGGTGACCTCTGTGCAGCCCACCTGCTCCTCACTCAGCCCCCGTGTGGGGCAGACGGGTGGGTTGGAGCCGATGAATGCAGTAATGCATTCCGATGCATAGATGGCCAGTAATGAATGCATCAGCCATTGGGGGCGGGGGGGGGGGGGAGGAGGGGGCGGGCAGGCTTGCTTTTCTTTCTCCTGCCCCGCATCCTGCCCCAGGGAGGCCCAGGAGCCCTCTGGCCAGCAGCTGTCCCAGTCCTTGAGAGGAGACAGAAGCAAGCTTCATACGCTGGATGAAGCCCATCAGTGAAATAAAACACACCAATGGTCCAGGCCACCCTCAAGCTAGATGCCAAAGTCTACACAGTGTCAAAACCCACTAAAGAACCCTTATTTTTATATATAAAAACATTATAAACAAAGCATAAGGCGATGTAAGGCTTGTATTTCAGCTTGAGTCCAAAGAAATAATGTTTCCTAACTATGAGACTAAAGCTTCGCTTAGCTTTAATTTTTGAAAAATTCGCTGCATTTAAAAAATAAAGAATTTGCTTTCGTTAAAGCTAGATCATTAGTGTAACAATTAGGCAGTTGCTGATAACCAGTTTCTTTTCTGGAGGGTTTCAGAAAATGCAGAGTTTTCTTGTTTAGCGTTTGAAATAAAAACTGAGGATCAGGTAGGACTCTCTGGATGAATCTTCCTTCTGTACATTCCTTCTAGAACTTAGGGAAGGAGAGGTTTTAGGAAATACCACTTATTTTACGCATATCGCTCTCCCGTCCCTTCCACGTTCTCATGAACCCACCAGATTCCCAAAGGGCCCACTGCCCTGTCCACCCCTGCAGCCCAGGACGGACGGCACAGTGGTCCTGCGTCTACCAACTTCAGTGTAAAGCATCTGCGTACAAAACTGTGTTCTCTAACTCATGCGAGCGCAGCAGCCAGGTCCACGTGTGAACGGCACGACTGTCCTCAAAACCAGCTCTGCACGCTCGCCCACGGCCTGGCCGGCTGTCCCGCTGCAGAGGTGCGGTTGTGGTGATGACGGGTGGGCCTGCACGTGCTCCGAGGCTGGGCAAAGCTGCGACGGGCTTAGAAGGGCGTGTGGTCGGGCAGGGGCTTGTCATCACTCCCCGTCGGGGAGGGAAGGTGGTCACTGCCATTCTCTCTGCCACCTACAACCTTAGACTACGGGTGGGAAAAGACCAAGAGAGAAAGACCTGAGAACGAGCACGAGCACGCAGAGCCGGGCAGATCCCAGGCCAGCTCAGGTCTCTAAGGAGTCTACAGAACTTGAATTCTGATTAGTGTGAATCCTGATTAGCAATAAAAAGGAACAAATCGCTGACACAAGCCAACAGGCCAGAGGTACCTCCAGGGATTTATGCAGCGTAAAAAGAGCCAATCTTCAAAGGCTCCATGCTGTATGGTTCCAATCATGGAAATGGAGAGATCACTAGTTCTGGGGGTAGGGCAGGAGGAAGGAGAACACAGGGAAGGATTACCGTGGGGATCAAACTGTTCTCCGCCTTAGCTGTTATCAGTGTCATATCCTGGTTATGTCACTTCAAGATGTGATCACTGGGGGAAACCGTGTAAAAGGTACAATGGCCCTCTGCATTAGCTCTCGTAACTGCACGTGAATCCACCACCCCAGCAAGAGAATCAAACGAACAGTCTGAATACAGTTACCTTTATGGTCCCAACTCGGTCTTCAAAGGACTTAAAGGTCGCAGAATTCCTTTAAAGAAAGAGAGAGAGAGAGAGAGGAGATGTCGGTGGAAGGAGCAAACAATTGTGCTGCCTTCCTAAATCTGAAGGGCCTCAGGGTTAGGATCAACCTGCAGAAAAGATCCCTGCCGGCACCCTGAGACCTCACTGTAAACATGTGACAAGCTGAAAAGGAGAGGGGGCGTGCCCAGAAGACAGTCCAGGCAAGGTCATTCTGGAGGCTTCCAGGTCAGAACAGGTCAGCCACACCTGCCAACTCCAAGAACATTAGACCTGCATGCCGCCAGCAGGTGCAACCCCGGGTGAAGTGCAGACCTCTCGACTGAGCAGTGGACGAGATGTGGAGCACATTTCTGCTGCACCCTACATCCACACATGCTGAAGTTATGGAAGGTCCCAGGTACTCCTGACACCAATCTCTCACGGAAGTAAAGGGAAACGAAGGACAACTCGGAACAAGTGAGTGAGGAGGAGGCAGAGGAGGAGAGAGCAGGCCAGCCCCAGCCCCACCCAGCACCCTCTTATACAACCAGTTCCCTCCCTACCCTCAGGCTTCTAGAAGCAGCCCATCAAGGACCCCCAGACGTGCGATGGGGTGTGGCAGCCACAGAACAGGGACAGGGCCTCTGCTGCGGCACCACAGGGCAGGAAACATGAGTGGGAGGCTTCCAGGAACAGGCCACAGCTCTGGGTGTTCTAAGGAGACCAGGACTCCCCTCCAGGTGCAGATAAAAGTTTCCCATAACAGGCTTGGAGGCGCCTGAAGTCTTGTGGGTGCCAGGTATGTGTATGAACCTCTCTGCCCCTCCCTGGCCCAATACCCTGGGCAGCCCTGGAAGGTTCCAGATGGAGCCCTATTTGATACACTGGTCTCCTCTTAGCCTCCCCCCCACTAGCTCTTCAGCCTAGAAGGGATCTTTCCAACCCCTGGCCAACAGGAGCCTGCCAGGGAGAAGATGGCCCTTGGCTCAGGGATACGGGGAATGTGAAGCCGACTGGCTGGAGCCACCCCCTCCCCCCGGCTCCCCCATCCTCCACCCCCCCCCCCCCCCCCCCCCCCCCGGGAGCTTGGGAGCACGAGTGCACATTACCTCATGGCTGGCATACTTATCGAGTGGCGGATTGAAGAGTTGCTGCTTGGGAGCGTGTTAGAAGCAGAGAAGGAAGCAGGAGTTACCAAGGGGATGAGCCTGGCATTCAGCACACCCATCAGCTCACCCACACAGAGACCCGGCTTGGCAGGGTGCGTGAGCTCTGGTCACCACACACAGAAGGGCCCCTGGCCCCGGGAGGAAAGGACCCCGGGCTCCTCTCGCTGGCCTCCAAAGTTGCCCCAGAAATGGGACAGTGCTGAGAGAGAGCTTTAAAATAGGAAACTAAGAAGACCTCGGCCTGGGGCTTTAAAATACCTTTGGTACAAATAGCTGTCAGATGTCCTTACTCGACTTCACAGCAAATGACTTTTCGGCAAAAGAGAAACAACCAGGTCAAGTAAGTAGAAATATTTAAAGTCACACGTTGTTCTAGATTTGGTTCCAGGCCTCTGAGCTGGAAGCGTGTGTGATGGGGCAGCACTAGTATTGGGCCGGACATATGTGCCTGGGTCAGCGTGGGGTGAGGACCACCCAGGAGGATGCCCCACAGGTGCCCTGCCGTTCCTGGCCCTCGAGTGGTAAACGAATCCACTTGCAGGGCAGGAGAGAACAGGAGCCGGTGTCGAGGATGAAGAGGCACAGAACCCGAGAATGGAGAGTCAGCACGCCCCCCGCCCCGCCCCGCCCCGCCCCCCCCCCCCCCAACGTGAACACGTCTCTTCTCAGGAAGGACGCTGTCAGGCTGGGCTGGGGGCTGGCGATAAGCCACGCGGTCACAGCCCCAGGAGCCGTGAGCTCCCCAGCAGGCTGCAATGCCTGGCAGGCCTGGCTGTGCCAGCTGGGGCCGAGGTGCACAGCCTCCCACGGGCCAGCCAGAGAGCACCCTGCCCGGAATCAAGGGAAGAGCCTTCCACAGGCACGCCCCGCATCAGCCTTACCTAAACGAGTGGGAGAACGGACGGGCCCTGAAAGGCAGCAGCAGGAGGAGAAGAAACGCAGTGTTAGGAAAGGGAGGCTAGTGCCCACCCCAGCCCCTTACTCAAGCTCCAGAAGGCCACGCAGGGACCCCCGTGGCCACCCCGGTCCCTGTTCTCCTCAAGCCCCAATTCTGTGAGAGGCTGCCGCTCCCTCACGCACGCGACTGGCCCCTCTGCGATCCCACCTGGGTCACATACGAGGCACCTGCGTGTCCACGACCCTGTCTGGAATTAGAGGGATGAAGCCCCAAGGACAGGAGCAGCGCAAAGGGGTGGGATGTGCGGAGGCGGGCTGTACGACCTTCAGGGCTTCAGCTGAATGAGGGTGCGCACACGCATGCGACGACAGGACTGGCCGGGACACCCACGGGGCTGAGCGCCCTGCACTCCAGCTGGCAGATTCCAACCTAGAAACACGCGTGTCTGGGGGCAATACGGCCATGTCCTCCACTACCCAGCCAGGCCTGCTCACGCTCTGGAGGCTACCCCCAACATGAAAGTAAGTCATTTTAGAAGCATTCAGAAGATCATATGAGGCTCGATTATGTGGTCTCTTGGGTGGGCAGCAGGCCCTGCCATCTCTTGGTGGGAGAAGGCAGGTGCCTCGTCAAGGCTCACCAAGCTAGACAGAGACCCCTGCTTTAACCCAGCCTTTGACCCAAATCCGATTTCCTCTCCCAGTCTGCCACCTCCTACCCCAGGGCACGCAAACAGCCTCCCAGGCCGGGCTGCTCTCGGATAGGCCTCTGCAGCACCGTGATGTAGGGCAAACATCTCAGCACACAGAAACCTCCGTGGACCTCATCTGCATTCTCAAGAAGTGGTGAATTCTCAACTTCAGCTCAACCTGAGACTACAGGGTGAGGCAACGGTGGACACATCACTGACCCCAAGACGTCAGAGTTCCCCACACCCCTGGAAACACAGCAGAGCAAAACTGAAGAGCCCCATGGTGAGGCGCACCAGCAAATAGGCCAGTCCGTCTGAGCACCTTGACTATGTGGGACCTGGTTCTTGTCCCTGGAAGCATGGGTGCAAACGTGACACATGGCAGTGAGGCCGGGCACGTGACCTGAGGCTCCTCGCCATGGTCAGCAGCACACCCCAGTTCCCGGAGCAGAGAGCGGGAGTGAAGCAGAGACGGAGAAGTGAGGTGCACCGTCCAAAGGGCCCGCGGGAGCTCCGGACAGTGCCAACGCCCTGCGCACGCCCAAGAGGGAGGGAGAAGGCTTGATGTGAGTGAATCATGCCAGAAGTGACAGGGACGTTCCTAGTGAGAATGTCATTTAGGCACAGCACACATTTATTGCTTCCTTCAAATGCTCTGTTATCAGACCAGCATTTCGAGGAAAGGACCACAACCCCACACACAGCTCACCCCAGCAGCGCTGGGATGGCTCCCCCCACGCCCTCCATGGCAACCCCTGGGAGCAAGGCCAGGCCACCAGTGGCGTGTGATCAGTCTGTCACCAGGCTTACCACAGCACGGCTCAGGTGGCCAAAGCAGGTGTCCCACAGTGCAGCGGCGATGGCGTCCCATCTAATTTCAAATGAGATTCGTTACAGGAACACACCCACAAAGTCAAGCATTAGCAGATGACTGTGTGGCTGGGAGGGACCGCCGCAGACCCCCCTTTTGTCACTCAGAGCCACATCTGCAGGCTCCAATCACAGCCACTGTGGACAAGGCCTACGTTTACAGGGTGACCCAAAAGGAACCCCCAGCCATAGCTGCTCAGGAGCATGACCAGATCTCCAGTTGTGAGGCCGTGCACTCCTTAGGACAGAGGAAATACACAGACTGTGTACTGATTGTTCAGCCTCTCTGAAAATTTGCAATTTTTCTAAATAAAAAGCGGAGGGGACTAACTACATCCAGCAAACAAAAGGTGAGCACGGCCCTGGGCACGAGCCACGCGGTATGAGTGTCTGTGTTTTCACCTCTGGCTACATGGTCAGGCCAGAGCCCCGACCTTGAGGCCTCACAGGCAACTGCCAGGCAGGTCTGTGAGGCAAGGAAATGCCTCACCTACGCAGGCAGGGAGGGAGGCCACCTGAGGATAAGAGGAAAGGGGCCAGGGCGGGATGGGCTCCCAATGCTGTACTCCAAACGCCAAGCCCACGGGCACTACCACCGCGTGATTCTCAAGTCTGAGAAGAGAGGAGCCTCAGCATGGGGTGGGGGCTACAGGGAGGCATTCCCTGAAATCGCCAAGTGAAGGGACCGGTCCTGAGCGTAGGTCAGGGGCCAGGGCAGGGCTGGGCAGTAACACCTGGGGAGGAGGGGCGTCCAGGAAGGACACCACACTGCCGCTCAAAAGCGCACGCTTGATCTTAGCAGCCCCGAGAGGGACGCCTCGCCAAGGGCAGGGCTAGGAGGTAGCCAAGCCAGGATTCACACCACAGCCTCTGGCTCCAAGGACCAGTCTCCTTGGCTCAGTGCCGTGTAGCAGAGGGGGCCTGGCGGATGCAGCCACGTGTGCTCCACCAGATGTCCAAGCTGCCCCCACACTCCCTGGCCCAAGGCCCTGCTTGAAGCACTTCTGATGGCCATGAAGGTCTCATCAACTCTGGGAGAACATTCAGTTGGGGCCCCTGGCGTGCAGCCACACACACTCTGAGATGTGCGCTGGGCAAACACTGCAAGGAAACAACACCCTTGTCCCGGCTGGCTTGCCCAGAGCGACACCCCACCCTGACACCGACCTGCAGGCAGAGTCATCTTTCATCCGTGGAACTTCAACGGCAAGCACCCACCGTTACAGATCCCAAGCGCTAAGTTACCCAAAGGAAACAACACTCCCTGCCGAAGAAGCACAGCAGTGGCGAAGAGGCAGTCCACAAACAAGGGACCGTGAATCGACTGCCCCCGGGCTGGTGTGCCCACACCCACAGCTGCCAAAGGGCCCCGGAGGGTCACGTACCTGAGCCCCAGGCCCCCTCAGAGCCTCTAGCGGATCTAAAATCCCCAAACCCTCACCCGACTGGCCTACCCAACTAGGGTGTCTCACCTCATATCTCCGAGCTTTCTGCTGATGGCAGAGCCCACAGTGGACAGGGCAGCGGACGTCTTCTGTCCGGCCTGAGAGAAAGTTTCCTGAGTCTTCTTGTAGCTGTAAAGAAAACACCAGCTGAACCAGTGCAACAGGAGAAGCAGCCACCACCCATGAGTCAAGGACACCACGTGCCCAGAGAGAACCCCAGGGGACAGAGGGTTAGTGAGCACATGTCTGGCCGCCAGGAAGGGGACTGACAGCAGGGACAAAAGCAGCACGGCCAGATGGCAACCTCTGAGCTCTGCAGTAACTGTTTTCTGACCTTATTCCATCTCGTCTAACGCTCAGGTAACCCACCTCCCCTGACTTCTTGCCACAGCGCTAACTGCCCGGCAAGTGGGGCGTCCGCCTGCTGCAAAGCAGACAGACCCACAGAGGCCCTGGGTCTGAGACAGAAGCCAGAAAGGTCCCCTTGTTCTGTTACTGTATTCAGGGAGCTTCTCATGTGAGCGCTCCACCACGCCCATTGGGGGCGGGGGTGCCCTGGACAGTGTGGATGTGTGGCCTGTGGCGGGCTGGCCGCTCAGACTCTCGGGAGCCCTCGGGCCCTCAACCCCCCTGTGCGGTCTCACCAATCCTTTCAGAACTGAGGAACCTTCATCTCATGCCATCAATGCCATCGTCCCTAGTGCGAGGGGTGGCCCTGGATCACAGCAAAGACCACCCTTTCTAGGCCTTCCTGCCCCAACCATCCACAAAGGGGGGGGTGCATCACACAAGACATGGGTCCATGACCTCAACATCTGTGAGATGGGCACAGGCAGGATGCCTGGGCTACAGGGACAGCGAGGACATCCTTGGGCTCGCCTTGAGAGTTAATACTTGGAGCTGCCAGACCTTGTCCAGATGCCACCATAAACAAAAGATACCGCAGCCTGAACCCAAGGGCTCATTTCTGGCCAAGCTGACATGTTGCCCTAAGGAAACAGCTTGAGACGGCAAGGCTCTCGAGATGCCAGCCTTCTCTCTGAAATTACTTTCTGATGCCTTGTTCGTGTCACCAGGTCACAGACAGCACCAGCATTGGGTCTTCGGAGTCCTTCCCTCCCGTCCACTCCCCGACAGTGCCATCCGGAGGCTCCACTGTGATCACGTGCTGCCCTCCTCCCTCACCTTCCCTCCTGAGCACTCCAGGCTGCCCGTGAGTCCCTGTGCCACCCCATCAAGTCCCTGTGCCACTCCATCAGCAGGGAGGCCCAGCCGTTCCCATAGCGCCACGGGGCCTCAGGCTTCTTTGGTGCCCGGCATGATCCAGAACTTAAAATATGTGCTTTCCAGAAAGTGAGTTTAAAAACACATCGTAGGGGCGCCTGGGTGGCGCAGTCGGTTAAGCGTCCGACTTCAGCCAGGTCACGATCTCGCGGTCCGTGGGTTCGAGCCCCGCGTCAGGCTCTGGGCTGATGGCTCAGAGCCTGGAGCCTGTTTCCGATTCTGGGTCTCCCTCTCTCTCTCTGCCCCTCCCCCGTTCATGCTCTGTCTCTCTCTGTCCCAAAAATAAATGAACGTTGAAAAAAAAAACAAAAAAAACAAAACACATCGTAGTCACTAGGACAGTGAGTTTGTCTTAGCTGCTGGGAAGGTCAGTAAATCCTGGAACACGTTAACAGAGAGAAAATAATCTAAAATCTTTACTGTAAGACTTGCCTCGGGATTTCCTCAGGTCCATAACGAAAAAACTCTAATTCCAAATCCAACCTTTAGACAAACCCGACCACCAGAAACCCCTTCCCCTGTGATAGCCAGAAACTGTCACAGAATGGAACAGGAATGGAAATGAAACCCAACCGCCTGTGCAGCTGCAGCCCAGAGAGCTGCGTGTCTGGGATCTAGACGGGACCCCCTGGCACAGGGGCAAGGCCGGCTCTAGAGGAGCAGACCACAGCTGGGTCTCACTAAAAACCAAAGTCCACATGCTCCTTTTGGGAGGGTTTCCACAGACTCAGCTGTCATCCTCTGAGGGACCTTCCATCCCGACAGAGCCTTTGCCAGGACCTGGCACATACACACAGTCGCCTCGGGGTCGGCAAAGCCGGCAGGAAAGGGACAGAGAAACCTGCTGCGTGTCCCCCACTGCACGGCCTGCTGAAGGAAAGGCTCTGGGACCTTCTCTGGGGCCCCTAACTTGCAGTATCTGTTAGGGACCCCACCCTCACCCCCACCTGGTGAACTGCTTTCATTTCAAAGGGAGTTAAAACAGATTACCTGCGAGCAACAGACTTGGAGCGTGCCCGTTATTTATAAAACACTAACTACAAGGTTAACTGGGAACATGCAGGATATTTGGTTTCAGACACAGGGTCAGAAAATGTCTTCAAGCTGCTTCTCACGAAATAGCAAACGTTTAAGGTCACGTTAATGTTCTGTTTGCTGAAGTGAAACGGTCTGAAGCAGAGGATTTAAGGCAAAGTCCTTACAGAATTTCTGCCTGCACCCACAGGGCCAGGTGTGGGGAACTGCACTTGGAGAGACCACAAGCCTGTGCCGGGGATCCTTGGTGATGAGGAGGAGTGCCCTTGGGGTCACTTAGTACGGAGCTGGCCGCTGAATGACTGGCAGGAGAGACACTGGCTCGTGGGCCATTCCGAAGGGGAGCACCCCCACGGGAGACGGACCGGAGGCAATCTCCCCCGCTCCACCACCCTCAGCACTTCAAGTGTGTGGAAATGAGGTGCCACAGGGACCCCTTCTGAAACGGGAGCCTCCAAACCAGGACACATGCAGCGCAGGGGCCGAGGGGCTGTCATCAGCCCCGGTGGAGAGGCCACGCTCAGGCCGTGAGGGGACTGGGGGCCGAGCCAGAGTCTGCATACAGGCAACCTCAGGCCCAGACGTGAGGAAGGGTGCTAGGCTGTGCCACCCTGCCTAGCACCCCTTCGGGAATCACCCCCAGCTCTTGGGAAGACAAAGGTGTAGGAACGTCGCCAATGCCAGCCGCCAATGCCAGCCTCCCCCGCCATCAGCAAACTCTGCAGTCAGCGTGGGGCATTCTCCCGCACCCTCCCTTGGTGGCTGCTCCCACCCCAACCCTGGGTGGGCACGTGATCCCAGTCCGGCCAGCCAGGTGCGTTTACAGCTCCCTGACCACGGGGGGAGCCCGGGGAGACTCGCGGCGGGCCGTCCTGCCGTTGGGCTGCAATGCCACAAAGATTCAAACCTGCCCCACTGGGCACCCTCTGCACCGTCCAGGAGAAGCCAGCCTGGCGACACAGCCAGCGTAAGGAGAGCCCTGGTCAGGTGAGCCCGGAGCAGGCCTCCCCTCCTTTCAGGCTCACACCCACTCTGCCGTGCTTTCTGTCCCGTACAAGGAAAGGACTCCATATACCAACTGGCAACTATGCCCGGTGCCACCTCGGTACGCCTGCAGCTACGCTCTACCAAGGGGAAGAGCCCAACCAGGCGGTCGTTCCGCGACGCAGAACACAGCTGCCGCCACGGCCAGCCGTCTGAATCAAGAAGCAGCGGCTGAGACAAGAAAGGATGAGTGGCGTCAAAGCTGCACGCGCCCAGCACAGCCCACGAGCAGCAGCACGACGGGCACAGACGCGGGCGCTTCCCAGCCGTCCCGAGGTCTCTGTCATCCTCCGGTGCGCTGCTGGCTGCAAGTGATGCCCGGGAGCGGCCACCGCCTGGCAAAGCGCTTGAAAGGGCATCCCCCCGGCCACTTCCACGCCCAGAGCCACACGTCTCTTCCAGAGGGATCAGAATTGCAATTATCTGAGACGGCACTCAGGTCTCCTAAAGCTCTTTTCAGGTAAGTCCACACTGTGAGCCTGCCAGGTGTCCCAAACCACACAACATCTGCAACTTGGTGATGGACCGTCCGATGCGGCCCCGGGGACACAACACACCGGGACTCCCAGAGCACGTGTGGCAACGACACAGACAGCGTGAACCGCCACAGCCCGCCAGTGCCCGCCGCCCCTTGTGATGTCAGGCTGCAGAGACCACACGTGGAGCCAGCAGACCTGGGGTCCCGGGGACCTTGAAGACAAGCTCAGTAACAACCAGTTCCTTTCAGGCAGATACAGAAGGACTACCCAAGTTCTCTGGTATCCATGACAGCACTTCCTCCTAAGTAAGAAATGGAAAAAATCCCAGAAAGTGACTATTTTAAAACATTACCCCACCCTGTTCAAAGGAATTCTAATTGGATTAGAGTGCAGATAAAGGAAGTGCTATGACCTCAGAAAAAAAGTCAAGAGTCGTTCTGAACCGTGGCTTTGACAGACACAGAAAACTATCCATGCATGTTTCCTACTGTGCTCATGTTCCACATGGCTGACAGCTCGATGCCCCTCAGACCAAAGAGACTCCGTCGAGACCCCACCAGCAGGGTCCAGGCGGCCCCCACAGCCTAAGAACCACCCCAAGGACGAGGGAAGCTCTGTGAGCCCCTCGGCTGCAGCCACGTCTGCAGGGAAGGAAGACCGAAACAAAGGCCCCAAATCACCGTCCGCAGCGGTCGGTGCTTGGCCACTTTGCCCGCTCAGAAGGCTGAGGGGCGCCTACCAGACAGACGTGCTGCCCAAGGCCAGCCAGGCCTCTCACCTAAGGGACGCATCCGCGTCAGCCAGAGGGAGGGTTTCGGCGTGGCCTGGTGGCCAAGTGAACCTCCTTCAGTGACTACCCGTTTCACGGAAAGCAGAGTGTCATTTGCGTTTAAGAAAAATCACGTAACGGCAAAATAAGCAAAACACACCCAAACCAGGTTTGTGCCAGGTGCACGCAGCCTCCCGGTCCCTGAGAGAGTGTCAAGAGCAGGAGGAGGAGGAGGAGGAGGAGGAGGAGGAGGAGGAGGAGGAGGAGGGAGGTGCTGATGGCAAGGGCACTCACAGGTCTGACTGGGTCACTTTCTCATTCCACTCGCCAAGTTTCTCAGAGGTTTTCATATAGCTAAAAACAGAAAGTCTGCGGTGAATTATTTAGAACAGTTATTTCAACTCCGGTTTCAAAGCACGGCTGAAGTTCCAGGGAAGACAAGGACCGGAGAGCGGGAATATGACTGTCCAGCCTGCCTGACACCAGGTCTACTGGTGCTCAGCACCTGCTGTGAGGCCCAGGGAGGCCCAGGGGGGCCTGGGCGCTGACAGAACCAACCAGTCCTTCCCCTGTCATGCCCAGGGAGCGCCTGGTCATCCCACGTGAGACAGCCCTCCGGGAACAGTACTGCTGTGAGGAATGAGGAAGGCACAGCCGCATCCCCAGGATACTTCTCTGGCAGTCACCCTTTGGGATTCAAACCCCGCGATTCCCTAGGACAGAGAAATGGGCTTTCGTAGGTGATTTTTTTTTTTTTTTATAAAATGCGATCGATCTGTCTGCAGGGATGTGGCTTCTCAGTGGGAGACCTTTACCCCCTCCCCCCCCCCCGGCCCTGGAGGATACATTTCAGAGGAGCCATGTAGCTGTATTCCCCAAATTCAGAGGGCAAAGTCACACGTGAGTCAGAAGTCCTAGGGCTGTAACCACATCACGCTCATGAGAAGGACTCACATCCACCTCAGCAGACACTGAGCTCGGAGGACCACAGGAAAATCAGTCTCATTAAGGACCTAATTAGTGTTCTCTCAGATTTGTACCCTGAGATACACTCTCATCAATTTCTGCTTGGACGACTAGCTAGTGCATCCATCCACCTTTTAAAAGTATGTGTAGACTCTAAGCTCTTGGAAGACATGCCAGGGGCTAGGCCAAGGACTCAGGGCCTCTGGCTGGCTGCCTGCAGACAGGGATACTTGATCCCCCCGTTCTGTGAGGCACCTTGTCCCCAAGCACATAACATCCTACTGGCGAGCCAGGGGCACCAGCCTGACGAACACCCTCCAGCCTCCAGGGCACCTCTGCCGCGGGCAGGTACCTACGCGGTAGAGACCTGCACATCACGCCAGCTCCTGGATAGGTTCTGTTTCAGGCCCTCCAAGGCGGAGAGGCCCAGCTTCCTTTTCAGCTCTCCACAGTGCCTCTCCTTGGCTGCCAGGACCTGGCGCAGAGTGACAATTTCCTCTTCCACCTGCAAAAGCACAGTTGACTTGATTGCAGGAAGTGACTAACATCCTTACACACACAAGAGGTTTCTCGGAATTACGTAAGGACTTTCCGCTTACAGCACATAACTTGTCTTAGGAACAGAGTCAACAACAAATATCTCTTTTTATCTGGAACCAGCACCCGGCTTCTTGAGAACTGTCTCTTTCCCTCAAGCCAAGTGGTTCTGGCGGGGCTACCAATCACTGTGCCCCCCCATGGATGACCAAGCAAGCCCTGTCGGAGCTCTGCTCTGGGACGGGGCACAGGTGTCAGAAGAGATGATCCCCTCTCCCTCCAGGCTCTGAGTCTGGGCTCAGAAGCTGGAATTGCTGGCAGCCAGGCCCTCTCTGCACGGAGCAATTCCACATGCACTGGGAAGGAAGCAGAGCTGACAGACAGATGGATGGCCCAGACTCAAGTGACAGAGCAACGGCCTTTATGACAACAAGTACGTTTCCAAGGTTAGCTCTAGGCCTCGGCAAAGGCAGTTACTCAAGCCAAAAGTAAATCTGAATTTGAATTCAATTTAAGTTTGAATTTAAGTTGAATTTAAGTTTGAATTAAGTTTGAATTCAACTTAAGTTTGAATTCAATTTAAGTTAGAAAGAATCCTGAAAATAAACACCTGAAACTGCTCAAGCCCTAAAATTAAAAAAAAATAAAAAAAAAAGATAGAACTTGAGAAGGAAGCATCCTCTGGAGCCTGACTACCCTAAAGGTTTTGGTTTTTAGCTCCTGCATCAATAGCTACTCTAAAAAAAAGCCTTTCCCTTGGGGCGCCTGGTGGCTTAGTCGGTTAAGCGTCTGACTCTTGGTTTCGACTCAGGTCATGATCTCCCAGTTTTGGGAGTTTGAGCCCCATGTGGGGCTCTGCACTGAGCGTGGAGCCTGCTTGAGATTCTCTCTCCCTCTCTCTCTGCCCCTCCTCCACTCATGCTGTCTCTCTCTCTCTCTCAAAATAAACTTTAAACAAAAAAACAAGTGAAAAAAATTTTAAAGTCTTTCTTTTAAAAAAGTGATTATTTGAAGTAAGGCAATAAAAAGTAGCTCAGAGCCCTTACATCACTAGTTTTTCCAGCACAAAATAGTTGAAAAAGAAATAACTTAGAAACATAGGATCACCCAATCAAATTGTTACTAGTTACTCCAGCAATAAGGACCAATGACTAGAACATTCCACCCATGGTGTGATAATCAACATGGCTTGAGGCTGTGTAGTCCAGCTGTCTTGGGGATACGCACGTTGAAAACTTTAAGTGACATGAGCTTCTGCCGCTCAACTCTGAGATGACTGAGTGTAGCCCAGAAGCTTCACCACACTGCCCGCTGCTGCTGTAACCTTCACTCAACTCAGACACTGCTACATGCTTTCCCCCAGGGTCTGAGGCCTGGCTGTGGGGCTGAGGATCATCTACACAACTAGCTCTTTTTAGACTCAGGATGCATCAACACAGGATGCCAGCCTCTGCCTGATCGGATGCTATGCTCAGATATCAGCAAGCTCATTCCCCAGATTTTGAATCTAAGTGAGTTGCTGTTAGACTCTGTATCACACAGAAAAAAGAAACACTCCCAGCAGTCAGTCTGAATAAAAATTATACCTGCAGGTTTGGGTTAATTACCATTTCCTCTTAAAGGACTCTCACTTTAAAGATCACATGAAGCGCTTTTTTACAAAAAGAAGAATCTTTAAAGGAAAAATGAAGATCCAGGGGCAGATAGTTTGTGGGGTCTGGAAATTGTCAAATGTTAATCCCAACAAAGAATCCCCAGTAGATGGTGTGCTCAGAGCAGCTGTTCCCGTGTGGACACCCTCCTCACGGTACACAAAGCACCAGGCACACAAAAAGTGGCCGCAAAGAGCAATTTCTGTGGGACTCTGGGAATGACCTCCCAGGGCAATTTCTGCAGAGCACAGACAGTGTTATGGCCCCTCATCAGCCTGAACTCACAGTCACCCCCGGACAGATGGCGGAGACTTAGCACCTTTGCGAGCTCAGCCCTAAGCTCCTCCTCCTCAGCCTCCGTCAGACCCTCAACAGCAGGAGTCTGGGCGGCCACCGTGGTGTCGACAGGGACATCTGTCATGGAGTCGGACAGCAGACCTTTGTTAGGAGAATTCAGGTTGATATCTGCCAGAGACAAACAAAGTCAGAAATTGTCAATAAGAAGTTACAGGGAAGTAAATAGGGTAGAGGTCTCCACCAAGGGAGAAACTAAGGGTGAGGCCAGGTTACAGGGGAGTCGAGGGGGCCGTGGAGAGTACTCTGACAGGCTGTCGGGATGGTTTGGGCCATTAGGCCAAGGACATCTCAAGCCACCCAAGGTGCTGCTTCAGGGCACTGGAAAGGCTGGCACAAGGCAGCCAGACCTGAACTCTGCTTCCCTCAGGATAATACACTCTGCGGAGACAGGAAAACTTTGCTACAAACAAAGCAGCTGAACCTAACAGATCTTCTAATTTGTAAGGCAAAGAAACGATACGGCTGTAAGCACAAGCACCACTTTCAACCAACCGATCTGCAGAGCACGTGCTCCCATCACACACACAAGATGCACGGGCTGGTCACACAGCCCCAGCAGGGAGTCGGCAAAACACAATTCCCCTGGAGTCTGTTCTCGACCCTTGTCCCACAACAACATGCAGGGAGGAGCAGAGACACTGCTTCCACACCTCCGCTATACCCAGATCAGGTTCCAATTCCTGCAGGCACTATTTCCTCTTCGAGTTAAATGCATCTTCTTGCCTGCACTAATAGCGGGCAAGATCCCACACAAATAAAGACACATGGGTCTGCTTTAGTTCCTTCCAACTCCGAACACACGACCGCCCTTCAGTAGCATACAATCCGCACACGCCATGAAAACAGGCTTTGTGTGGTGTCCAGCACTTTAGAAGTAAAGGCATAGGGACACCTCACTGGCTCAGCCGGAGCAGCATGTGAGTCTTGAGCTCCAGGTCGTGAGGTCAAGCTCCACGTTGGATGTAGAGATTACTGAAGTAAACGTAAAAGAGGGGCACCTGGGTGGCTCAGTTGGTGAAGCGTCTGACTTTGGCCCAGGTCAGGCTCTCACGGTTCATGGGTTCGAGCCCTGTGTCGGGCTCTGTGCTGACAGCTCGGAGCCTGGAGCCTGCTTCAGATTCTGTGTGTGTCTCTCTCTCTGCTCCTCCTCTGCTCACACTCTCTCTCTCTCTCTCTCTCTCAAAAATAAATAAAAACATTAAAAAAAAAGGTTTAAGGGGCACCTGGGTGGCTTAGTCAGTTAAGCATCCGACTTCATCTAGGGTCATGACCTCACAGTTTGTGAGTTTGAGCCCTGCATTGGGCTCTGTGCTGACAGCTCAGAGCCCGGAACCTGCTTCAGATTCTGTGTGTCCCTCTCTCTGCCCCTCCCCTGCTCAAGATCTCTCAAAAATAAAGAAAACATTCTAGAAAATTAATAAAAAATAATAAATTAAAAAAATAAATAAAAACAAATGCACAAAGGTTGGGAAAAAAACTGCCTGTAGTTACGGATATGTTTCTCTACTGTTGAAATCCTACAATCTGCTAAAAACAGACTGTGCTTAAAACTAAAGATGCTCTAGGGGCACCTGGGTGGCTCAGTTGGTTAAGTGTCCTACTCTTGATTTCTGCTCAGGTCATGATCCAAGGGTTGTGGAATCGAGCCCCGTGTCGGGCTCCACACTGTGCTAAGGGTGAAGCCTACTTAGGATTCTCTCTCTCCCTCTGCCCCTCGACCCCTTCTCTCTAAAATAACAAAAAACCCCTACAAAGATGCTCTATTCGGCTCATTCCCTTCACATGTCCCACACAGCTGGAGGTTAGCACTTCCTTGGAACTTGATACACGTTTACCAGATGAAGCACAACCATTGTTTTTATCAACTGATTTGGGTTTTTTAAAATGTTTATTTATCTAATTGTGATCGGGGCGGGAGGCACAGAGAGGGAGAGAGAATCCCAAGCAGGCTCTGAGATATCTGCATACAGCCCGACCCAGGGCTCAATCCCACAAACCGTGAGATCATGACCTGAACTGAAATCAAGAGCCGGAGGCTTAACCGAGTCACCCAGGTGCCCCATCAACTAAATCTGATTTTTAACTGAAATCAACCCACATAACTTTACTTCATGTGCTGTGTTGAATCTACTCAAATTCGCTAAATGCCTTAAAATTACCACAACCTTGCTCTTCTATTTTTTTAATTTTTATTTTAGAAAGAGGGCGAGTGTAAGTAAGGGAGAGGAGCAGAAAGAGGGAGGGAGGGAGAGAAAGAGAGGGAGAAAATCTTGAGCAGGCTCCACACAGTGCAGGGCTCAGTCCCACGACCCTTGGGATCATGACCAGAGCTGAAAACAAGAGTTGGGACGCTCAACCGACTGACTTCAGCTCAGGTCATGATCTCACAGTTTGTCAGTTCAAGCCCCACATCGGGCTCTCTGTCAGCACTGAGCCTGTTCCAATCCTCTGTCCCTCTCTCTCTGCCCCTCCCCTGCTCGCTCTCTCTCAAAAATCAACGTTTTATAATAAAGGAAGGTAGGTAGGTCTTTGGACTGTTTCTGCCTATAAAGCTAAAGGTGGATCCTGCAATCACTCCCAGATAGAAACTGGGCATTCACCAAACATGCCAAAGAGCCGCACAATCATTGTGTGATACCAACCTCACCATAGCCCTGTAGGTAGATGCCATTCACACTCTGGTTCAGAGAAGACCGAGGCAAGAAAGTGTCACCAAAAGACCTACAGAGTGTGGGGCTGGTGCTGTAGGAGAAACTAGGGGGCTAGAGTCCCTCCTGGGTGAGTCCCAGATCTCTAGAACTGTATAAACTGCATGGTGATAATACAAGGAATAATCTCAAGGGGTTATTCTGAAAATGGAAAAAGGACGTTTGAGAAACAGGTTTGGTATGGTATTCGGCATACAGTAAGTGCTCAGTGTTTTCTGTCACTCTATGGTCAGAATCCAATGCTTGTGATGCTTACCTATATTAGACATACACGTCAAACAGCGAAAAACCTGAATTTAAAACTGGCGGCTTTTGATGTTCAACTATTTCGTAAGTAGACTGCAGAGACAGGAAAATCTACACAGTGTATCAGAATCTAGGAGTTCTGTTTAATTAATACGCTGATACAGGTCAAATGACAGGAAAAAAAAATCCTTAAATCACCCAGGGTAGTCATGTCAACATAGAAAGTTAGCATCTCTTCTGTACCAGAATGAAAGATGGACTCCAATCACCTTCTTAAGATTTTAATCTGGGCCCACTCCACACCCCCAGCGGCCATCTCAAACCGGTCAGGGGTGTCTGTTCTGGAAACTGGCCCAGTCTCGGTGTGCCCTGACTCACTGCACCCTTCCCCCTTGAGACAACCCCTAAGAAGCCTGGGCTCCGAGCAGCGTTGCCACCCAAGGGGCGCTGCACTGAGCTCGAAGATGGTTCCATTTCCCCTCCCCTCCTCGGGAGAAGCGCACAACACATCGGCCCTGGTGCAGGGCCGGATGGAGTGTCCTCGAGGGCCCTGCGTAGGGAAGGAGGGCGGTCGACTAGGCAAGCGCCGGGAGGGGGCATGACGACAGCTGCCCGGAGAGAGAAAACCCAAAACTCTGGGGACGAGGGGAGGGGTGCCGGGGAACCGGTCCTCGGAGCGGCCGCAGGGTAAGTTGGTGCGTGGTCCAAGCCGGGGGCGGCAGACGCACGCCCCGGCCATCGGGAGCTTCGAGGCCCGGCGCATGGGAGCTGAAAAGGAGCCACGGGGCGGAGGGGATTGAGAGTCTGAGAAGCGCCGCCAGAGAGGGGAGGAGCGCGGGCTGGGCCCGAGGAGCGAAGGCGCCGGGCCCGCGGGTACCTTGGCCTGCGGAGTCCATGTTCAGGCGGCGGCCGGGCCGCGGCTGGGGTCGGGACCGGGGTCTCGGGCGCTGTAGGAGCCGAGCCGGCCGCACCAGGACTCGCTCGCCGCGCACACAGCAGCCAGCGGAACCGCCTCAGCCACCGCGGCATTACGTAATCAGCGGCGCGACAACCCACTTCCGTTTTGACGCGTGCTCCGCCTTCATCCCACCCCCACTAACGGTGTCCAATGAGGACTTTGTTCGGCCCCGTCCCTATTACCTGCTCCAACCTGATTGGCGAAAGCTGCGGACGAAGCCGGAAAGGGAGGGCGGGTTCTTAGGGACTGCCTCTCGCGTCGGCTCTACCAGCGAGACACACAGGTAGAACGGTCCGAAGGAACTCGGGGAAGGTGGGAAGTGGGAGGACCGTCCAACATGGCGTTACGAAAAAGTGGGGTTTGGCATTTTTGGAGGTCTCGAGAGTGTTTACCGCTGCTCAGGAGTGCCATGGCTCACGCACCGCACAGACCGTTTGAGGCCTGACTTCCTGATTTTGGAGTTAGCTTCTCCCTCCAGTTTTTAAGTCCTTCCTCTTTATGGGGATTTTTTTTTTAATTTTTTTTTCAACGTTTATTTATTTTGGGGACAGAGAGAGACAGAGCATGAACAGGGAAAGGGCAGAGAGAGAGGGAGACACAGAATTGGAAACAGGCTCCAGGCTCCGAGCCAGCAGCCCAGAGCCCGACGCGGGGCTCGAACTCACGGACCGCGAGATCGTGACCTGGCTGAAGTCGGACGCCTAACCGACTGCGCCACCCAGGCGCCCCCTTTTTTTTTTTTTTTTTTTTTTTTTTTTAATTGTATGGGAGTTACGCAGAAAAAGGCGTGTCTGCGATTCGTCCTCTAGCCCTGCAGGCGCCGCTGCCCTCACTTGGCTGGAGGCATCTCGCTCCGCACGCACCTGCCCCGGGTCCCGTGCACGCACAGCTGAAAGGCGTGAACTGACCTGCGGGGAAGCCTTCGCGCTTCTGTGGTGGGTGCTCCCTTCCCCTCCGGTGTTCTTTCACTTCATTTTCATAGCAACCTGATGAGCCAGGTGGAGCCTTCCCCACTTCACAGGTGTGGAAACTGAGGTTAAAGTAATTTGTTCAAGATCGCTCAGCTAGTTGTAAAGCTTCCAGCAAATGCTGGAACAAGAGTTTGCCGGACTTTCTCAAAGGAGAGGTGTGAAACCACTAGCGGGTTCTCTAAAACAAGTCCCGAAATTTCCCTTCGTTGGCACCTAAATAGCCACTGGAAGCGAATTCTTATATGGTATTGAAACCCTTCAGGATCTGACTTCCGGACTGCACTCTCCCTTTCCAGCCAACCCACTCTGCATGTACGGATCCCTCTGTGGAAGCCCCTTCCTCAATCTGGCTAACTCCTCTTCCTGTGTCAGCTCAAAGCACACCTCACCACAGGTGTCTTCCTGGTACCTAAGGTCACCTCTGGCTTGCACTGGCCTAGGTGCTTCATGGCCATGTCCTGCTCTGGTGCTGTCAATTATAGGTCTGCCCCACTTGCCTTCTTTCGGTTTTTCCAGAGTCTCCTGCACTGCCCGCTCTGACTAGCCCCAGTCTCCAGGTGCTGGGGAAGGCCAGTAGTCTCCCCCCCCACCCCCCACCCCCTTCATGCAGTTCATGGCAGATGGTAAGGAAGCAACTGCATTGCAGATGGTGGCGAGCAGAAGGCTTGTCTCTCATTCTGTGTTACATCCTTGAACCCAGGAACGATGCCCAGCCCAGGCCTGGCTCAAATTTGCCTTGCCTAGCAAATGAATGGTCAGTGCAGGTGTGTCTATAGCCCACATGGACATGCCACTGTGAGTACCTGTTACTCTGAGTCTGTTGTCCTTTCCTGTCGAAGCCAGGAGTGTGGAGGTGGGGAGGGGACCCTAGAGGCCCAACATTACTAACTCCTGGTGAGGTCTGGCGGCTAAGACCTGCTTTATAGTCTTCCAATGCCAATGTCCTCTCACAGCTGGGGGTGACTTGTACAAACCCTTCCTCACTCAAATTTCCCAGAGCCATTGTGTATCCTGATCCAGGATAAGGGTACCTCCCGGGGTCCCACAGCCTATGCTCCCATCATCCTTTTGAGGTGATCAAGGCACCCATCACACAGTGTTGCCATAAACTGGGTCAGGTTAATCTCTACATTCCCTTTAGAAGCTGGGAGCAGAATGGGACGTCCACAAGTGTTTGTGGGAGAAGCTGAAGGAGGGAAGGGGGGAATCACCCCGGTGAAGGAGAGCACCAGTTCCCTGTGTTCCATCTCACCCTCCCCCAGACACCAGGTCGGGATCCCCAAGGCAGGGCCAGCTTTACTGGTTTCCCGTGTGGGGGAGGGGTGAAGACTACAGCCTCCAGGGCAACTGGAAGTCCTCCGGTTCCAGCGGACTGCAGTGAGTGGCCTCCACGTTCTTCAGGTGTCTACGTGCCAGGAACAGCGCGAGCTGCCGGCGCCGCCGCGGGCTCAGGTCCTGGCCCACGAGCCAGGGGAAGGCGAGCCCGTGAGGCCCCCAGTCCTTCTGCTCGTCCTCCTGCTCGTCCTCACGGCGCGCGCGGTAGGAGCGCAGCAGTGCTCGGCACCACTCATCATCCACGCGGTAGCGCGCGTAGAAGGTGGCCTCCTGTGCCAGGCTGCCGGCGCGCAGCCAGCGCGTCACGACCGCGAGGCCTTCGCGCGCCATCACGACTGGGTAGCGGTGCTGCAGAAGACGCAGCAGCAACTCGTTGCCGCGGTTGCCCTCCACGTCGCCGGACGGCAGGGGGCGCACGTGGCCCGAGGTGCTCACCACGTCGTCCAGCGTGCGCCGCAGCAGCAGGACCGGACCGGGGTAGCAGCACAGCTGCTCCGCCACGTTGAGGTTGAAGTGCTCGCGCACGGTGCGCACCACCAGCCCCTTCCAGCTGCGGGGCATGACCTTCAGGGCCAGCGGCACGAGGTCGTCGAAGGTGGCGTCGAGCACCAGCGCGCCCAGCTCCGGGTAGGCCATGGTGGCCCAGGTGGCCGTGAAGCCACCGATGGACCAGCCGTAGACCACCACGTGCGCGGGCGGGAAGTGCAGGCGGTGCAGCGCGTACTTGACCACCACGTCCACGGCGTTGGCGTCATGCTGAGGGAACGGCGCGCCCGTGCTGCCCCCGAAGCCCGGGTGGTTCCAGCCCAGCACCGAGTAGCCGGCCTCCAGTGGCGCCGACAGGCAGCCCATCTCATAGAAGCCGGCGTTGCCTTCGCAGCAGATGACGAGGCGCAGGCCGCGGCCGTGGCTGCCCGGGTGCTGGCGGCGATCCATGAACATGGTGTCGATCTCGTTGCCGTCGCGGGCCACCAGCTTGGCGCGCCGACCGCGGTAGCGCTCCACGAGGCGCTCTTGGCCCTGTTGCAGCAGCGGCAGGAGCGCGCGAGTCATCAGGAACATGGAGCCGGGGTACACGAGCCAGCGGCCCAGCGAGTGGGCCAGCGTGTAGCTGGCCAGCTGGCCCGGCAGCTCGCGGATCTGCCGCAGGAGGCGCTGCGCCTGACTGCGCGCCCCGCGCGGCGGCCGGCCGGGCGCGTCCCCGCCCAGCGCCGCGCCCC